TGATACTAATAAAATATAGTTGGAATTTTTTAAAACACCTTCAGAAGTAACAAATCAATAATTGAATTATCAATACATTCTTTGTACTCATAATTATCATTAGTTTTTTTTTTAGAAGAATGAATGTACTGATGTCACAATGCACAACAGTGTATGTATAGGAGGAACCAATAATACATTTATCATTCAGCGTATAATAACACTAATAATAATTGTGTTCATAAAAAACCATTAAAATTTTGAATTACTTACATTTTTTTTTTTTATAAATTAAATCATAAATAATTATATTTTATATACTTTAGATCTACTCATCGTCATTTTGTATTATTTGATAGTATAGTATTGATAATTTGTAGTATACATAATAGACATTATATTATCTATAATCAATGGTATTATTTATAAAATGTAATCCAGAATAAAAGATTTTGCCCATGTAGTCTGACGGGTGTATGATTGTATGTCTGCAAATTATATTGAATTCAGATCAATATGACAAAGTTAGATACGTATAGTAGTTAAAATTAATTTATAAATTCTTATATAGATATTAAACATTGTTGTAGAATGCAGGACATTTTAGAATCAACCCAATGGTGAGACTATAATATATAATCGTTCGTTTTCGTGTTCACGTTTAAAAATATCATATATTCAAAAATACATTTACCTATATCTTGAGTATTGAAGAATACCATTATTAAATTGTCATGCATTTAAAAAAGTGTTACAGACATGGATTTTAATTTATTTTAATTCATTATTCACTACCAATGCTCATAATTATTTTACGAAAATATAATCTTGGACTCGGGGAAAGGAAATATTTCTAACGTATAAACTACTACTCTTTTCCTTTCGCCGTATTATATGGATTTATCGGAAACTGTACGATAAAAATTATCCGAGAAGATAATACACCAGTAAATAGTATTACAGTGAGTGTATTCGTTCACCAAGTATAAGTATATTTGATGGTAATTTGAGTGGATGTTGAAGTGCGGAACGACGCTCGAAATCACAACATTTTAAAATATAAAAATTGATTTATTATCTCTGTTATATTATAATAATGAATTTATCATCTCAAATATAAATATCGACATTCATTAAGTTTTATTATTAATTTGAAATTAGGGGAACATGGGGGAATGGCGGCCAGTGGGTATTACCAGTCAGTAACATATCTCATGAAATATGATAGCTAAAATTTAGATTTCAATGTTATTTGATAAGTGTTGTTATCAAAACCTAATACCAGATGTCCCAAAATGATAATCACAATTTTTCCCCCCAAAAGTTTGTTATCAATTTTATTATCACTTTTGATCTAATATTTTTCAAAATCGAAAATCATCAATTTTTTTTTCTACATTAATGGTTGTATTTATCTCTTTAATATTATGAGGATTGTAATTATGTGATCATGATTCACCTAAATAATATAGTTTATAAGTAAATGCATGTATTTAAAAATAATTATGAAAGGGGTATTACCGGCTAAATGTGATGGGGTAACTACGGTCAATTTTTGTCTGACTGTCATTACCCCGTCTCAAATAAATTATATTAAATATTATAATTTAAATAGGTTAATAATTTATTTTAGATGCCACGAACATACGTTCGAAAAACAACTAAAGCTAGTTGGAAAACCGAAGACTTAATACAAGCCATAAATGTTGTTGCTAATAAAGAGATGAGTATGCGTAAAGCTGCTAAATACATATTTACCTACCTATATTTTATATATTAGGTAACTTATACTTGTTTATTAATAATATATAATCTGATATACAAAATACAATGCATAAAAGAATTTTAATTGAAATAAATTAAAAGTTTGTTCACTTTTGGTACCTAAAATATATTTTTTCATACTTTTAAAATTTATCAATACAAAAATTACACATTTCTAATGCATTTTAGTAATTCTTAATATTGATAAATATGTCTGTACAGATGACATCATATTTTGATCATAATTTGGAAGATTTTTAGAAATTTTTATTTTGTCCTTTACTTTTACATGTATTTTTGTGTGATTGGTATTACCCCACTATATGGTTAATGCTGGTCATTTGCGTTTTTTTTAAATGAAAAAAAAAATATAACACTTAACTTTTAAAATTTGAAACTTATATATGTAGTTGCTAACAGCTTTGTAGTTCTAATGTTAGAAATAGTAAAATATTTGGTTCATTATTACCGGAGATACATGAACTCCCGCTTAGGTGGCCGCCATTCCCCCATTTTCCCCTAATATTTGAATTCGTTTGTCAAAATTCATGAATCAGTCCGCAACAATATCACTATTTATGCAACATAAACGATAATATACAGTGTCCATTTTTCTGTAATAATTTGGATTATTTATGCTTATGTGATGTTACATCCTAAAATTAAATTTAATACGTAATACTGTATTCTAATATAATAAAAAGTATATGTTCAATCATATAATATTATAAGTATTAATTGGTGATTTATTTAATTTTATAATTTACTAAACCTATGACCATTTATATAATTGTATTGTTTTATAATTAACACCATAATATTGCCAATATTATAATATAATATCTTAACAGTATATGTATGTGTAGATTAATATTATTATTTTATTTATTTTTTTTTAAGTTTGGTATATCAGAAGACGGGAAAATTACTACTGTCAAACGTTAATTTTTTTAAAATATTTTTGCTTATTCATATACTTTTTTCGAACATTTTTTCCGGAGAATATAATATGATCCTGTATAATAATCTTTCGATTATTGATTATCATGTCGCAATACATGCTGTGAACTGGTAGATTATAACAGTCGATGACCATCAACATTTATATTATTATTATTATTCTTGTCGATCAATGGAATTCCAATACAAGTCGAACAATTTATTAGCAACAACTCACAAAGTATGCTCGTAATCATTAATTTTAAAATAAGTGTCCTTATTTATTTTCCAATCAACAGTGTATATTATACAGCGTCATTAAGCAATTAACAAGAATTAAGTATGTAAATCAGATGAACGATTGTATTTGAAGTATTATTATTATATGTAGTTGTTTGTAGGTAAATTTTATAAAATAAAATGACCAAACTACATATTAACAAAAAGTATGAACTAACTGTCATACGATTAATACGTATCACAGTGTGGTTTTGACGGGTGACACACATGCATTATATGAAATTAAAACAAAATAATATGTCCGAACGGTATTTCGCGACAATGATAATTGTAACTACAACAGAGTAAACAAGTTAAGGAAAAAGTGAAAGAATAACGATTGAGATTTGAGATTTAAATAGCGTAAAACGGTATAATAATTAGTATTTATTTGGAAAGGTGTATATTTAAAATTTAATTCAACGCAATTTTGTTTCTCAATACACATAAAAATAATTCATAAGTTAATGTTGTATATTTTTCCATATTTTACTAAATGTATATAATTTTACATAATTAAAGATTTTAAATATATTAATGCATATTATGCTTATAAATTATAGTATACTAGTATTGATTGTAAATTTATTATGGCCTTCAATAAAATGTTTCTATAAAAATATTTATTTTTACCCAGAACTATGTTATTAACGTCAAAAATATACAAAATGCATTATTCATTTATTAATAATTATACTTTTATTCTTAATATTGTCATTTAAATTTTGATAGAACAAAAAATACAATTCTTTTTTGAATATTTATGCATATTTTAAGTTTATTCCCATATAAATACATATTTAAAAAACAATTCATATTATACTGCATACATATACGTTTTTTGTACATATATTTCATTTTTTCGAGCGTTTATGTTTCAAACCCTGATAACAATATATGTATATAGTGATGAAAAAATCAAATCTCGTTCCAGGAGGCTGCAAGTATAAATGCGTTAAAGAGACTGGTGTCCAGAATAAATCATTCCATACCAGTGAATACCTTTGATATGTGACGAAAATATTATAATCAGGGTTAGGATCTTACAACACTAAAAAGCAGTGGTGGTTTTTATAATTTCTCCTCAAAGAGAGGGTCCTTTGATATTATCTTATAATATATTAAGACACAAAAATGTTTAACCTATCAATAATTTATTACTGAAAATTAAATTCTTATACTGACGAAGTAACATAAAATAACATTTTAAAACTAAGTGTCCCGATTAAATAATATAACCAAGTTTAAACTTGGGATCTAAAGGGAGTCCAGACCTCTTGCACTCCTCCCCTTTCGTAAAATAATCACTGCTAAAAAGTATTAAAATATACGGTTTTTTAATACCTAAAAAACAATTTATCTAAAACATTTTTTAACTTTTTTTTTGGTTAACAATTACAAAATATACATTAAAAAATTATTTAAGAATTATAAAATGTATAATAAATAAAACGGAGATGAAAGGATTTTTCGTTTTTCAATCACTTTTTCTTACAATTTCATTTTCAATTCCACTATTTATGAAAAACTCAAATCAAATTGAAGGCATATAAGCAATACCAACACTGGAGGAATAACACTATAAAATAACTTTTCGATAACGTGCACAAATATCGTTGAGTTTTTAGGTTTGAAATCCTTGAACAAAATGAGTATAGCTATTATTACTCTGGTATTTTTATCAGCATAACGATAAGCAAATGTTATAGAATCCGATGATTGTTTCACCTGTTCACCGATTTCTATCAATAACAGCGACGGGAAATCGTTGACGGGTTTGGTGTATTCGACTCCGACGTAATGAACTGATAACGTCGATCATACGATCAACACCGTTCGCGGAAATAAAAGGCGAACGACGATCCGACCGAAAGTCGGGCGACGTGACGTTATCGCGGTGAACCGCGGTCGGTCGTGTGTCGGATGAGAGTGAGGGAAGAAGAGTCCACGCGACCCGAGAACAAAACGTAAACACTTCGCCGCGGTCTTAGGAGAGGGGGCACGGGCTGGGCTGTCCGGCGGAACGTATACGCGGCGAGATTCGCAGGTGCCCGCGACAGTGCTTCACCGCAACGTGTTCGGCGACGTAGTAGTCGTTTTCCGTGCCGACCGACTCCGTCTTTGGGATCTTGTATTGATTTTTACCGATTTTACACTTTTTTCGTTTACTTTTTGTTTTGATTTTTTTTTTTTTTTTTGTTCTTCTTCCCGGTGTGCGTGCGCCTTTTTGCGATTTCCTCGAAAACATACAAAAAACAGACAACGTGTGTGACCCCCGTGTTCTTACTTTTTCCCGCCGTTTATGTGCGACCGTGAACGCGTCCGACCGATGGATAACCTACCCGAGGAAATAATAACATCACAACGTAAGAGGTATGTCAAGGAATTTATTACAATCACTGGACGCGCTACTACGTGCGTAGTAACAATAGCGCAATAATATAACCTGTCAATGTTAGTTTTGCATGATATTATATTTTGTGTTATGGCAGTGACGTATCTAGGAATTTTTCCGAGGGGTTGCTGATCGGTTACATAACGAAAAAAAACATTTATAATTACTGCAAAATAATTATTAAAACTGTGTTCTAAACATTCCGGTTTAGTGTTAAAAACAATATATCACGTTTTGTGATCTAGTTTAATTTTGGAAACAGCGTTTTGTACGTATTTTTTTTATTTTTATATTACTGAAGATTAAGACGTATAATTAGTTCTCCTACAATTTTGAAGGAGTCTACAGTTTTCTCTGCCATTCCCTTCTAAATACGCTACTACAGGTGTTAGGTAGTTTTACCATTCGAGACGTAAGGAATTATATTTTAAATTATGATGTAACAACCGTTTTCCAGGAATATCATGTAAATATGATTGGTTCGGAAATCAGTGAAATAGCCGTCGTGCTACACTTACGCTAAGAATAAAGTTGTCAAATTTCATGAATTAATTAATATTTTGCTTATAGAAGCAAAAAAAAAGTCGTATGACACTCGCATTAGAATATTGAAAAATGATTTTTTACGATGAAAACTATAAACGTTTTTAAATATTATTTCATGCTTAGGTTATTGTGTAATTATAGATATTCTACAATTTTATTGAGCAGTAGTAACTAATTCAACATTACGGTATCGACACGTCATACAATCCAGTGTTGAACACATTTTGTTGCCATTTGTTTGTTGTAATACAATTTAAATGTTTTATGGATTGTTTCTTATCGTCTAAATGATGACGAATTGTTGCTTTTTGCAGTATTATCTAAAATTACAAATCGAGGTAACTGTGATAATAATAGTTGTTTGTTCTTTGTGGATTGAATGCATGGTTTAAGCTACAATAAAGATATCACACAGATAAAAACTCGGTAATTCTGAGACGAAATTGGGTGTAATCTATCTTTGATGCCAATCGTCATCACTAGTAATGTCGTTTTCGGCTTCAATACGGACATAAACTATGCTCCCGAACTATACGCTGGAGGCGTTTGGTATTATTTTAAAACAAGTTAACTTATGAAACCATGGATTTGGATAACGAAACATTTAAACATTATCGGTTCGAATTAATTATATTTTTTTGTATTACTGTAACCGCATTCTTTTCGAACAAGTTTTTCTATCTCGTTCAAAACCATTGTTATTCGGTGCGAGAACTGTTATCTATATGTAAATGGTTGTCGTTATGACGGATTGACCATTAACTAATATCCGTTTATGGCTTTTGAGTAAGATATTTTTAATATTTAATTCAAAATTAAAATAAAAATGTGTTTATGATTGACTATTACTATTATATACGTGACCTCTTTCGGTTAAGTGTCCAATGCGTACAAAAGTAATATACCTAAATATTATTATACTGACCTAGTCAATAAACGAAACACTACGTTTGTATAATTAGATAAAAACCAAAATTAATGTTCATAATTTATGTAGGCATACTATTCTCGGTATAATCATAAATACGATTATTCTAGAATATGACTCTTATAAAATACCAAATATATTGTAATTTACTATTGGTTTTATTGTTGTGAATAAAATTTACTTTTTAGGTAATTTTGCATGTATTTACTAATACATGGCACTGAGGTAGCAAACCTTATAATTAATAATTATACCTTTCGTCATATAGATAGACTTATTGCAATCAAGTAATTACTCATTACTTTGAAAGAGAAAATTGTTAATTTAGTGATTTCGCATGGGTATAATGTATCTTGGTTACAAGGTTATCTTTTTTAGTTATCTTTTGATGAGTTCACCAACTCATTGACAAACTGACAGTTATGCGACTAATGTGATAGTAAAATTAAAATTATATTATTTAAATATAATTTGTCATAAACTGAAATGTATTTATAACTATTTCTAAATAAAGAGTATTTGTTAGTTTTTTTATGTATACTTACCGTCAATTTTTTACGAGATTTCGAAAGAATGCAGTAAAAAAAAAAAAAAGATGTTTTTTTAAATAATTATTCTACGTAAGATACCAAAAATGAATAATACCGACTTCTATATACAATTTGTTGCTTACTAAATAAAATACTAATGTACTCGTTATTTGAATTGGAAAATGTCTGTAAAGATAAGAGATAATACTGATAATGAGTATATACGATATTATTACTAAATTAGTATACACACGCAATACATATATTATATATATATTGTGAAACACAAAGTAAATACATTGCGATTACAACTAGTTTTGTATAAACCTAACAGTTTTATCATTCAAGTGCACTCACGTTTCAAAACAATCAACGATTATTATACCACATTAAGATTCTTTAAGTATTCTTTAAATCTTTGTATTATTTCGAAGAAAGAAAATGGCCAAAAAAAAATTAAATTAAGAACACTTATAATATCTATTAGTGCACAAATGTACTGTAACAAATAATTAATTGTAATATTTCTATTTTTTCAATTAAAATTTCTAGTATTGGGATAACTATCGAATGCGTTGTTAAGTAATTAATCGTGGTATATGAATTGACGGCGAGTTATGAATTTTGATTTTAAAACGCAATCACTTTTTTATTTTATTTTTAAGAAAAAATAATAAAATCAACGATAACGTTACATAAATAATATTTTCTCCTGAAGCTGATGTTTAATCGTTATTAGGTATGTAGGCATACCGTAGCTTCAGATCTCGCTCACGAATAACTGTACACACGCGAGCGTTGACTTAATAATATTAAATACTCGAGTACACAATATTTACCTACATCGATATTATAATTCTCGAGCGGCATTCCCGTTTTAAAAATACGACTAATAACGATAACAGTGTGTTCTATTTTTTCCGAAGCGATGGATATATAGCCTGAAAGGAGGAAATATTAGAAACGAAACCGTATGAACATCGCAGTTAAAAAGATCATTATTTTTTTTTTTAAGTCCGATTTATTTACGACTTTAGGAATTCGATGGCACGGGTGTGTTGACCCGTGAACTATATTATATTGGTTTACACGTACCCCGGTCACTCGTATATAGTTTCCTGGACGGTCATTACCGTGTGTGTGTAAAGTACTTTCAGACGAAGATTGAGTCACGTGGTGGTATTTTCAAGAGGAAACCGGTGGGGCATCTGGTGCACTTCGGCGGCGTTCATCTTCTATCCGTTCAATCAGAATATGTTGTATTGTTATGTTCTCTTCCCGTCAATTAACGCTATGCTTAAAAATAGAATCGTTCGGTTTAATATATAAACGCCCGTATATAAGGTTATGACCTAATTTGTCGTAAAGTACAATCAATTTATAATATTACGTACATGTAATGCATTGTCGTCCATCGAATGCGTTTGTACAACATACACATCACGGTCATCTCGTTCACTTCCGACGGAGTGACTAATTAAAAGCTTAGGTGCATATTTCGCCTTCATTTTAATTCTACCATTATTATTAAAGGTAGTACTTATACGCGTGAAGATACAAGTAACACGGTACAATGTTTCACCACCGCTAACGTTATTAATATAATTTTTTTTACTATTCAAAATGTCCGTATAAAAAAGTACTTTTTGAATTCAACATTCGTATAAAATAATTAAAATAATAGTGACGAAATATTACGATTAGCTTGTTGATAATTAATAATTATTATTATGAATTTAAAGTATCCGTATATGTTCGAATTGTTGGACAATCGAAGACCTCTAGACTAACAGAATGTGTCAAATATTTTTTAGTCGAATCGATACGGTCGGTAAGTCGAGTAATCGTCCGACGAAATACTGCAGTTTGTTTACCTATAATATTTCCTATAATAGTTCCAAATACCAAAATAATTTTGTTGTTAAAAGAAGAAGAATAAATGTATATATATATATTTATCAGTACACTGTTGCTATAACATTTGGAAAACGTAGTGATAAGCGATGAAAACATTCATGTCAATAACCAACTGGACGCTTTGTATCTAAGTTTTAATTTTGAATTTCGTTTTATTTATTCTTTTAATACATAGTTTTTGAAAAGACGGTTCTATTGTCCCAGACACACATGCACTTAGTCGCATGCTATTACAATATTTAGAAAAATAGGGAGTAACAGTCAAGAAAAAAAAATCTAACAATTAATCTATTGATAACAAATTATTTACAAACTTTTATTATTGACAATTTGTAAACTATTTTTTTTTCTTTTTTTTTTCTGCAATTAATAAATAAAACTGACTTATTTACCAATGAATTATCAGCGTCTAAATCACGTATTATAAACCAATTTAATTTACTAAAATATGCATGATTGGATCATTTATAGTATAGTGTGTGAAAATCGTTATTTTTAAAAATATATTGACCCAATACTATTTCAATTGGTTTATCAACAAATGTTCAGTTTATAAGCGAATTACGTATATTAATATAAATGTATTTATAACATAAATAGAGAGGTTATATTAAACTTTGAAAAGTATACGCATTTATTAAATTTACAACAACATAATATTATCAATTATATTATATTCTACGTTAATTCTCATAAAAACAGTTTCGAATATTATTCAGTTGACTTTGCTTATTTTATAGTAGCAATATATCCGGATTCTGGGGTTGGAATCACTTTCACGTACTGTTCGGTGAGTCACACAGTTCCTTACCGGGTCAATATAAAGATGAGTCATAATTTGAGAGGGAAGATTTTTTCCCCGCGAAATCCTTTCCACAAGCCTTGTTTTGTCCATACCATTTACAGAACTATGTTTTTTAAACTACATTAATTTCGATACTGTTATAGACTATCATTACTGAATTTTTTGCGATTAAAATCTATATTTTACTATATTAATATTATCATTATATTTATATAATAAATATATGAAAGTATATTTGGATCCCGAAACTCT